ATTTCTGGATGGCCACAGATTCTCCATCCCTGGTTTGAAGAACACCCCCCTGCCCCAACGTTGATTCATATCACAAGCTTTGGCTAATAATAACCAGGCTGTAATTGTAACACACATCTTTGTTTCCATTGGCAGTGCTTCCAGTTTTGAGGAAAGCTCTTCCTGCCTCGTTTCAAAGCCTCCGAAGGCTTCGGTCGGTTGGGTCGGCGCAGTTCCTAAGAGAATTCCAGTGGGTCCCCACCCATCGGGCCGCCTGTGCTGACTTGTTGGTGGGGCTGTGCCCGCTTTGTGCTGAGCTGTTGATTAAGCTGCCAATGCTTACACCTTCTGCTTTGCGCGCATCAGTTGGAGGGAACTGGCTCAGCAGCTCCAAATTGAAATGGGGGAGTTGGTTTGCCAGGGAATTTTATGAAACCCTGGGCTGGAAAGGGGAACGATCTCCCTCTGCACTTCCAAGAACTAGGTAAATACACTTTTGGGGACAATTCCCAGACCCCCTTCTTCTCTGGACGACTAACTTTTCCTATCTTTGCTCAGTTCTCACTTGAGCCCATCAACATGTTGAGTTGTTGTGTGCCAACAGTTTAGAAGGACTCTGATCAGTGGCTTCCAAAAGGTCTCATCCTTAACAGCCCTGCTCTCGTCTTGCAAACTCAAGACCACGGCTTCCTTCATTGGAAGACCAACCCATCCCATACTTGGGTTCTCCTCTTTTCCTGCTGCCATTCACTTAAAGATGGGAGCTTTTGAAGGTCAGCTAATTCATAGGGTCATCATAAATTGGAAAGAACTTTACAGTGTGTAACAACAACAATCTTGAGCTGGTTCAGGTGGATGGAATTGGACAGGGGAACCTGGTTTTATTGATTTGGTGGCCTCTGTCCTTCGGAAGGTCATACTGGGGCCTTCTTTCTTTCTTGATTGTTGGGCTTTGGCGTCCTTCCTTGTTTTCTCTTGTCTTTTATGATGTTGAACACCTGTCGTCTTTTATGTTATTGAACAGGAAGCCCTTAGGAAATGAGGAAGTCGTTCTGGGTTTCCAGGGATATGATATCACACAACCTAGGGACTGGAGGTATGAGATGTTTGTTGATCTTTGAAACCAAAAAGCAATTAAAGACACTTCTGATTATTGCAGCTGACCCTGGAATAGAAATAGAGTTGGTGTTTGCTGTGGTTACGTTCCTTGTTAAAAGTAAGAGATTGTAATGTGGGATTTTCTCTGGACCCAGTCTTTATGTTGACATGTAATCAGCTCTCAATTACAGCCAGGGACGTCATGGGGACAGAGAATTAATGGGGTCATTGGCACCCATCAATGAATGCATACCTGGCCAAGGTGATAGATCCCTTAGTTTGACATTATGTGTCAGTTATTACTAGAGAAGGGCACGAACTAGTTCGTGCCAGTTTGTTTATTGGCCAAATAGCAGTTCAGCCACTTCAAAGCCCTGCCTCTTCCAGCAGGCGCCCGCTGGGAGGCAAAGCCCTGCCTCTTCCAGCAGGCGCCCGCTCGGAGGCAATGGCCTGACTTCCCTGCCCCGCCTCCTCTGAGTGCTGCCCCTGAGCGGGCGCCTGCTGGAGGAGGCACAGCTTTGAAGCACTGAACAGTTGTTTGGCCAATAAACAAACCAGCACGAACCCCTGAAGCGGCGATTTGTGGCTGTCTCTAGTTACTAAACTGATTCTTGGTTCAGGAGCGATGGGTGACCGTTTCATTCCAGGTCATTTTTTATAAAGATTTGCTAGTTGTCACAAGTTTCTTCATCTTCTGCATGGGAAGAACCCAAAGCTTTAAAAAAATCTCCAGTGGCAGAATCTGAAATGCACAAACTCCGTCATCCGGGCCCAGTTTCTGAGAGCTTAACTTTCACGACCCTTGGTTCGAATCTCTACACATGCAACCAAGATAATGTTGAATCTCAGGGCTAACACTTCTTTTTGCTTTTTTTTTTTCTGAACAGTCCTCAGCACAGTTAACTGTGTGGACCTGTTGAATTTAGCTGCTAAGATGGAAGTAAGTTTTTTATTTGTTTGAGTCAGTTCTTGCAGATTTTACCTGTAATTGCCAACTTCCTAGGTAGAATGAGAAAACAAAACATTGAACTTTGGGGTGGAGGGAAATTGGATGCAGGAAGATGGCAAAAGAGGCAGGTTTCCTTTCACGAATTAGAACATTCGGTCAGTTTCGCTTTTGTCTCTGGGAGAGTTGGTCAGTTTCCCTTTCTCCTTCAACCACTGCATTGACTCCTACTTAAGTTTCCAGATGCAATCTGGAGCTCTGATTTTTGTCCTTGGAAGCCAAGAAGGGTTTAAAGCCAAGATGTCTGGAGGGATTTGGGGGGGGGGTTGATCTCATTTTTGCAGAATTTACCTGAAATTGCAAACTTCATACATAGAACAGGGGTGGGGAAACCCTTGAGCATTGAGTTTCCATATCAGCCTGTCGATTGAGATAATCTCTGGAGGGTACGTCGCCTGTCCCAAGAAATGAGAAACATCTTTGCTTGGGATTTGCGATGCATCTGTTTTTTTTTCCAGTGGCTGCCCCCTGGTGCAGAGGGTCACATCCAGGGCAGTGCTGGGTTTCCTGGCTAACTGTCTGAGTTGCGGCACACGCTTTGCATGCAGAAGACTTTGGGTACAAGTCCTGGGATGTCACCAGCTCGGGCTAGGAAAGGATCCTGCCCGGCGAGTGACTGCTGACGGCCAACATCCAAACTGCACCAGCTCGGGCTAGGAAAGGATCCTGCCCAGCGAGTGACATCCGAACTGTGATGTCATTAAGTTTCGTTTCATGGTGTGGGTTTCTCTGGTGGCTGGCTATGGCAAGGCGGGAGATCCCAACCTAAATAGAGCCTGGGCCTGCTTCCATAGGAGACGTTTTTCGCTGGAAAGTTAGCAATGAGAAACAGGGGGGCCGTGGTGTTTCCTTGTGCAAGAGGCAGTTTTGAGATCACGAGCATGCTGTGCCGTTGACAGCATCGTTCTGCCATTAGTCAAGCCTTCTGTGGAAAGAAGTCACTCTGCCCAATGCTAGAGCTGCAACAGGGACACATCTGGTAGATTGGCTGAAAAAAAAGCGTCTGTTAATAAAGAGTTAAATATTTTTAAAGGGGGGGATGTACCTCCTCCTGCCCACTTACCGCTGATTTAAATTTCAGTGTGGCCTGCCTGGTGGAAGGCAGATGGAAACCTCTCAGCTCAGCTTCTGCTAGAGAGCCGGGGGGTTAAGCAAAATGCCCGGTGGACACAGAGCAGCTAATGGGGGGTGAGGCAGAGCGTCGTTGGGTTGTTGCGTTGGCTCTTTCTAGGGAAGGCTATGTTGATTCCCAGCCCGGAACATTTTTCTGTGGAGGAGGGGGATAAACCTCCCATCCGCTTGACGTACATGTACACAAACACTTCCTCTCAAAGATTTACACCATATTGAAGGGAAAAAAAAGGAAATGGAGGAAAAGGGCAGCCGTGTTTCTCCTTTGTCTGTCCATGTTATCGTTCGTGACATTCTCCCCGTGGCACGCTGCCACCTCCATACGGGCTGTGGGTTTCCAGGAGGGGTGTCGTCGTGAGCGTTGGGTGTCAGGGGCCGTGTGTGTAAAGCCAAAGCAGAAATGCTTCTTGTTTCCCTCTGAAGCTGGCTTGGCCCACCAGCGCCGAGTCTTGGGAGCACTGAGGGAATTTGCGATCCGGGGCCAACGGCGTCGTGTGCCACCGTTCCGTGACCGCGGCGTGCTGAGCCGGAGCTGGCTCCTGACTGAGGGAATTTGCGATCCGGGGCCAACGTTGTCGTGTGCCACCGCTCCATGGCCGCGGCGTGCTGAGCCGGAGCTGGGTCTGGCCTGTGTTGCCGACCCGGAGACACATCGTGGGTGCACCAGGAGGGGCCGTCCGTCCGTCGCAACGCCAGGCGGAGGCATTTTCCGTGCGGTGGGCACAGAAAAAGAGAGAAGGGGGGGCGCGAGGCGAGAGAACGAGGGAGAATGCCTGCCAGAATTAGATGAATATGAATCAGTCTTCTTTATTGGATGCTCGCCCAGACTTTCTGCTGCAACGGTACATTTAATTGGTTGCTTCATCCTGTGTGGGAAATGCCCTTCTCTCTCTTTCTTGCTCTCTCTTTTTTTTTTAAATTTTTTAATTAAAAAAAAAAAGCACACGCCAACAATGGCTGACTTCTGTAGCCACCCTGTCAGTATCTGGAGGTTTCCTGTTAAAATGTGGCTTTTCCGAGGGAGAGTTGGGCGCTTGAAGGGTGGGGTTCTTGCTTTAGCTTTGCTGACACTCTTCTCTTCTCTTCTGCAGGTTGCTGAAAAGTGCCTTCTTTGACGCCACTGACGCCGCCACCCAAGGCCACTGCTCGGATTTCTATCTAAGGCTTTGCCTCGCTCGCTTTTTAGATATATAAAAAGCCACCTCCTCTATTGTCTCCACCTCCTTCTCCCTCCCTACTCCTTTTTTTTTCTTTTTTGGAAAAGTTTGGTGTTCCTTGCAGTTCATTTCCTGACGGCAACTCTTCCAGATAATTTTTTTTTTTGCTTGTATATTTTTTAACCCTTCCCCCCTTCAGCCGTTTCCTCCTGACTATGTAGCAAACTCCATTTTAAAAAAAACCACAAACAAACCAAGAAATAAGAAATAGCAACAACGAAACAGTAACACGGCTTCTGTTGGTTTTTAAAGTTTTCATCAGCTTTTTTTTTTTTTTAAGAAAGTGGCTTAAAGAGTTCTTCTCTCGCCGAGAAACAAAATTGCCCTACCTAATCGGCATCGTTGCCAGCAGCGTTTGGAATTTTGTTTTTTGTTTGGGCTTTTTGGGGGGGGAGTTGCGTGTGTTTAATTATTATTAATTTTTGCATGCAAATAATTGAAACTAGTAACTGGAGAGCACAGATTTATTTTTTATTTTTTTTTTTGGTGGGGTGGAGGGAGTAATGAAAATCTGCCAGTTATTTTGAAATAACAGTTTGGGCAGTGGCACAAAATATTACACAACTCAGCCGTTTCCTCCCCATCGACTCCTGAGTATGTAGCAAACTCCATTTAAAAAAAAAAAACACAAACAAACCAAGAAATAAGAAATAGCAACAACGAAACAGTAACACAGCTTCTGTTGGTTTTTAAGGTTTTCATCAGCTTTTTTTTTTAAAAGAAAGTGGCTTAAAGAGTTCTTCTCTCGCCGAGAAACAAAATTGCCCTACCTAATCGGCATCGTTGCCAGCAGCGTTTGGAATTTTGTTTTTTGTTTGGGCTTTTTTGGGGGGGGAGTTGCGTGTGTTTAATTATTATTAATTTTTGCATGCAAATAATTGAAACCAGTAACTGGAGAGCACAGATTTATTTTTTTGGTTTTTTTGGTGGGGTGGAGGGAGTAATGAAAATCTGCCAGTTATTTTGAAATAACAGTTTGGGCAGTGGCACAAAATATTACATATAAACAGACACACACGCACACACACAGACACGTACACACATATAAATATATAACATTTCTATTTTAACTTCAGCAATTGCACTTTTAGGAGCTGGCCTCTAATTTGATTTTTTTCAATTTAATGCTGATGAGATTTCTATTTTATGATTGGCTTTATGTTTAACTCTTGTTTTAAACAAACATCGTTGGAGATCAATGGAAACCTAAGTGCTGGCGAATAGAAATTTTTACCAAAGCAAAAAAAAACAATTTTTGTGATTTCTTCACATTTTTTTAACTTGAATTCCTCGGGCGTTTTTTTTTTTCTCTCTCTCTCTCTGCAAAAAGCAGCAGTTCGTTTCTTCTGAAGAAGGCTGCTGTTGCAGTTTCCTTTTCTTTCTTTCCTTTTCCCCCCTTCTTCCCGTTTTTTTTTCCCTTTTGAGGGGGAGAGTCTTTTATTCTTTTTAATATGGCCGTGAACGTATCCTTGGTCCGTGATACAAAATGGCTGACGCTAGAAGTGTGCAGGGAGTTCCAGAGGGGAACGTGCTCCCGTTCCGACACAGAGTGCAAGTTCGCTCACCCCTCGCGGAGTTGCCACGTGGAAAACGGGCGCGTGATCGCTTGCTTTGACTCGCTCAAGGTAAGGATCGCCTGAACCCCCCCCCTCCTTCCTTTGCCTTGCCGCGTCTGTTGTGTCTTGATCGTGGTCGAATTGTCGAATTTTGTCAGTAGGAGAAGAGGGGCAGCCGGTTGGGGCAGCTGGTTCCCCCAGCAGCTATGAGTCAGAGGCAGACCACGTGGTTTTCTTGGGGGAACTCCCACGCCCTGGGTTTCATCCTCACCCGCTCGGGTTACACAGAAAGTCTTTGGCAACGCCTCCCGTCTGACGCTTGGCCGATCCGCCACTGTTCGGAGGAGACGGGGCTAAAATCGGGTTGGACTCAACAGCCAAACAGAGCTGGTTCGTCTTTCCTTTTCTCCTTGGACTACAACGCTCATAATCCCCAGGTGCCGTAGTGTGGGGGGTTGTAGTTGAAAAGGATGACATTGCCAATGGGTGGCCAAGTCAGCAGAGCAGATTCATGTGTCAGAAAAGTGTATGTGTAAAAAAAAAAGTGCATTAAAACCGCCACATACCTGAGCCCCGCCGCTTCACAAACTTTATCTGGATAATCTTTCCTGCAAAGTTGTAAGGTATTTCTTTTTTGCCCCTAGAACAACAACATACCTCCCTGAACCAAGCCAGATGTTGCCTGGTGTGGGAAGCCGAGCAGGGGCAAGCCTGGCTAGTTCTTGGCCAGGAAGCGGGACAAGTCTTTGAGTCCAAGTCCCGAGTTCGAGTCTTGGTACCGAGTCCCGAGCCTTACATCCAGGCCCCTATTTTTTAAAAAAGCTTTCCCTCCCCTCCAGAAAAAAAGGGAGGGAAAGTGGGTTCCCAGTTGCAAATCGAGTCTGTGTCATTGAAAAAAACAGCAACACACACATGAATGAAGACCAAGTTGAGTCACCAGTGCGAATTACGTCCAACTTGACACCAAGTCCCATGATGTAAGTCTCCATTCCTTGGTTCTTGGAGGAGTGGCCTCTGGGAATATCATGAATCTTTAGGGAGAGCTTGGGAAAGATCCTGCCTGAACTCTCAGAAAGCCATGGCTGCTGCCCAGATTTCACAAGATCGGGCTAGATTGACTGAGGATCTAACTTGACATGAGGTTGCTTCCAGTGTTCGTATAAGTGTGCTCTGCCCTCATGACTCTCGGGCCCCCTTGCTCGTCTTCAGCCATTCCGTTGTACCCTCTTACTACCCCTAAAATTTCTGGGTGCTTAGGCATGGGAGAACCCCTTGCACCCTCCGTGGAGCGGCATTCTGCCTCCCTCTTTGTGGCTTTTTCCATGGGGACCAAAAATAATGGGAAGAATGGATAGGAAAGCCCGCAAGGGCTGCAGGTGGGAGATGATGATTCCTGCATTTCCCCCACACACACACACATGTAAAGCTCCCCAACTGGCTCAGGGTGATGGCAGGACAAACATTTGATGGGACGGGCCCTCAGTTACTGTTCCAGTGGATTATCCATCCCCATCTTTGTGCTAGCAAAATGAGGGAGCAGGCGTGGCCGTGACGGAAAAGTGACATCAATGCGACAACCCCGTGCAAACGCTCTTTGCTTTTCCGGCTGTCCTCGGACTGGACCGGCAGGTTGTGTTTGGAGGGCGCTCTTGCTTTCTTGCCTTGTTTTGATCCACGAGCGGGAATTGCCGTCCGCTTCTTTTGCTCCCGGGTGGCATAAAACGGCCGCCCGTGTTTCCCGTCCAGAGGGGGATCCCTCTCGCCCCGTGGCTTCTGTCGGTTGGCAGAAGAGAGCTTATCACGCTGGAATGCTTCAGTTGTAGGAAGTGGCCCTTAGGGCGGGCGAGGGGGGGGGAAGGACAGGGTGTTCTTTCTGGCTTCCCTCTTCAAGCAAAAGAAGTTTGAATTTGTGCAAGGCAGAAACGCCACCGCGACCTTGCGGCTTCCGCTTTCTGGAGAACCGACAGCCTCGCCTCTCTCTCTCTCTCTCTTTCTCCCGCCTTATTCCTTATTCGTTGACAAGTTCAAACCCTGGCCTTCAAAGGAATCCGTTGTTAGCACTGCCTGGTTGGGGATTTTTGCCGGGATTTTATTCCCTGCTGCTGCGACTCTCTTTGTAATTCTGTCACTTTGGTCTTATCAGAGTCCCATCTTTGGAAGGGTTTTTGTTGATGGTGAGGGACCACGCTGTCGGAAAGCGCCTACAGGGCGTTGACCTCCACTTGCGGAGTGCCTTCCCACGAGCGGTCTTGCCTGCCATCCTCACCGAAAACATTTGGACCTAAGCCTATTCGTTAATGCCAACCAGAGTTGACCCATTGAACTAATGACTCCTACGTCACATTTTAAATTTCTCAAGCTTCGATAGATCTACTCTATTTAGAATCGCCTCTTCCGATAAGAATTTAGGCCTTGATTTCTATTTTATTTTGTTTTCTCATTCACCATTTGAATTCAGTGTCTCAACGTTTCTTTCTGATGTGTCTTCTAAAAATCTTAATCCTCATCATCTTTGAACGGCAGAGCTGGAAGGGACCTCTGGATTCCCCGAGTCCAGCCCCTGTCAAGGAGGCACTGTGGGGAATTCGAATTCCCAACCTCTCGCCAGAAACCTAAATCTTTGAGCTTTCTAGGATGTTCCGTACTTCTGTATGTACTGTTGTGGTTTATTCCTTTTGGCCATATTTTAAAAACTGTTCATAACTATCCCGGGGTTGCTTTCTGTTTGGCTGTTGCACAAACATCCCGGATGATTAGATAGGCTTGTTTTGCTCTGTTTGTTTATTTCTAAAATGTCTATCCTAGCTGTTAGCTTTTTTTTACATTCTCTCTCTCTCTCTCTCTCTCTCTCTCTCTCTCTGTGTGTGTGTGTGTGTGTGTGTGTGTGTGTGTGTGTGTGTGTTTACCAGCAATAGTTTTAAAGATTCAACTCATAAAAACAGCAGTCCTGAGAGCTTTAGTTTTCCAGAATAAATATATCAAGGCTCTTCATAGGACTTATTTTTCATTTTCTATGTTGTCTTTTTTTTTGGAAATTGTTCTGTTTCATCAAATCCAGGGGTTGGAAAGGGATCGTGTCCATCCCTATATGTTTTTTTTTTGCTGCCTTCAAACTTCTTCCCCGGGTTCTTAGTCTGTAACCCACCCACCCAGAAATCCTCCAAGGGAATTACTGCTCGACGGTAGCCTTTTTAAAAAAGGCAGCCCTTGATCGAGCGTCACTCCTCCCGCCCGCGCAAGCCCCCCACAGTATTTTTATAACACTGAAATCATGAAACTCCTCCTCCTCGTTGCCCGTCTGCTTGACCTACCCCAAGTGTTTCAGCTGCAATCAAAAGCAATTTAGTCACTTTCTCAAATTTGGGAACAAGAGGGCAGGAGAACTCAGTTGGACCTCATTAGCTTATTGTCTCTGGGAAAAAAAAAGCTCTCAAAACAATCCATCAGCCAGAACAAATTGGGCTCCTTTAGCAGATAAACGCTTTTTCCTGCCTGTATCGTGAGACCCGGTGAGCATCTGCACTTCCCGAATTTAGCCGGTCGATACCCCTTTAACTGCCCTAGGTCCACCCTGGAGCATCCTGGGATTTGTAGTTGGATAAAACGCTTCCAGTTCTGCGCTAAAGCGCTTCAGTGCCGTGGCCTGCGCTATGCACATAGCGCTAAGGATCACTCCAGATCCTGGGAGTTCACAGGAAGGAGCCACAAGAGTTGAATTGGTGACAGATGATATGTGCAGATGTGTTTCTTTAGATTTGGGTTGTATGCTTTGCATGTCATGGTGGACTCCGGTGACCCTATTTGCCAGGGTTTGGATTATGGTTTCCATCTGTGGGGTTTAATAATCCTTTCCTTGGATTTCTTGCCTGAGGCAGAGTTTCATGACCTTATCCTTGTGACTCGCCTGGCCTGGGGGCTTAAGGCCTGGATACCTGAGTAAATGGCTGCCAACCCTACTTCTGGGTGGAAGTTCTTCAGGTAAGGCAACATAGGAAGTTGCCTTCTACCATATAGCCTGTTTGGTCTAAGAGGTGGCGCTTTTCCAGGTTTCAAATAAAGAAAACTCTTTCCCGTCAGACGATTTTATTAGAGTTACGATGATTAGTTAGTTTTACATCCTGCTTTGCTCTGGTGACCAGAGATGGGGAACGTTGGGTTCTTTTGCCCTGGCAACTGTTATTCTGCAGGTTGAAACTTCGGAGAAAAAGCAGGCTTTTCCACCTCTGTCTACCCTTTCTTTCTCTGTCCTCATAACAGCTCTGGAAGGTAGGTCAGGTTGAGAGAGAATGATTGGGTCACCCATTGAGTGTTGAACTAATTCCAGTGCTTTTGCCAGCTGTGCCTCTTAGCCAGTGGTTCCCAAACATGGGCCCGCCAGGTCAGTGGTCCCTAACCTTGGGTCTCCAGATGTTCTTGGAGTTCAACTCCCAGAAATCCTGGCCAGCAGAGGTGGTGGTGAAGGCTTCTGGGAGTTGTAGTCCAAGAACATCTGGAGCAGTGGTCCGGAACCTTGGGCCTCCAGATGTTCTTGGACTTCAACTCCCAGAAATCCTGGCCAGCAGAGTTGGTGGTGAAGGCTTCTGGGAGTTGCAGTTCAAGAACATCTGGAGGCCCAAGGTTGGGGAACACTGCTCCAGATGCTCTTGAACTAAAACTCCCAGAAGCCTTCACCAAACATCCTTGCTCTTTACTGATGTCTGTTAACTGAGATGATGCAGACATCATGGCATCTGAGGCGGTTCTTTCGTGGTCAAGCCAGTCCATATGGGAACACAGTCCTTTAATGTGGACATTTAATATTTGTGATATTTCACTCTTTCATATTCTACTTGAATGATTTTTAGCTGTCTTTCTAAAAGGCAAAGCTGCTTTTAAATGGTTTTTATGGCTGATTTATTTTTGTTTCACGATGTTTGTAAGCTGCCTTGACGGCTACTTCTTCGTGGAAAGGCGGGATCGAATCCGAAATGGTGACAACAGTGACAGCAGTTAATAACAAGCTTTCAAGAGGACCCACAATATTTTTCCTTTCCTGTCAGGTGCTCTTACCATTGTTTAGTTTGCATGTT